TTTAATCTGTTGATCAAATCTTTGTTTCTTGGCGCTCCAGTTGTGTAAACCCACTGTTCTGTTGAACCGACAGTCGAAACCCAAAGGAAGCTGTTTGTTATCTTAGAAAAGTGAAGAAACCCGACTGTTATTTCAGGAGCTGCACTTTACCTTGAATAGATCCATTCACTGTCAAAATTGCTGCATTTATTTGCCTGATCATTACAATGATCAGCGAATCAACGTTTGTTATCAGCAGTTCATGAGTTGTGGGGATGTGCTGTGTTTTCTCTGTATGTTTCCATCCTTTACTATCTTTGGCCTTCTGCTGTTTGGACAAAACAACCATCCTGTTCCTCTCCTTCCATTAAGTGCAAACTCTCCGGCAAACAGAAAAAGCAATATTTTTTTTTTCAAACTAAAGAGTGAAACTTTAAAAAGTGCTCGCTTGATGTTTCTAACAGGCTGCTCTCTGCAGACGGCTCGGTAAATGTTTTCCTTTCTCTTGTTTTCCTCTGAGAAAGTGCTCTTGTATCACTCCACTGCTTCGCTTTGAAATTTGTATATTTCAGCAAAACTTGTCAGTATTGATCAGACGCTGCTACATTACCGCCCACGAGCTCGGACCAGAGAGCTGCATGCGGACCCCCGAGCAGCCGCTCCGCTCCTCAGCTCCGCATTGTGTTGATGCAGTTTGAGTGCAATAAAGAGTCGGCATTATTACTGGCACTGTCTGCGTTACACAATGGATTATATAATGGGCTGAATGTGAGTTTCTGTGTCTTGTAATGGATTTAGCCTAATGACGCCCCTCTTGTCCAAAAGAGGGATTATTGTGAGGAGGAGATGTAGCCGTGAAGTGTCTCGGATCGCACAAGTCTGATCCGCAAAATGCCACCAGTGAGAGAGGAGAAAAGAAAAAGCTTTATGAGACACTCTGGAGCTCCTTGACCCACATGAGAGCTGAAGGAAGCATTGATCCGTTCCTGCGTTGTCGTGTGGTTTCACCGCCTCGACTCTCTTTCCTTGTTTTGCAGCCGTCCAGTCTCTGAACAGCCTCAACGACCAGATCGCTCAGTTCATGGTGACCCGACCTTGCAGCCTGACGGACGAGGACGAGGCCTTCATGCCGGGCGAGAGGGACACCTTGAGGAAGTCCATGACCCTGATGAGACACCTGCTCGTGGACGCTCAGGTACAGCCGCCTTCCTCCCAACGAGGTCATTCAGCGGGCGCTTGTTCCTCTAATCAGAATCAGAATGAAACTACTAATAATGCAGAGCCCAGAGGGAGACGACGCAGCCCGGATAGATAATTACAGATAGATGACGAGGAGTTTATCACGCTCACAGTGGGACCAGTCCCTGATTACTACAAGTGGAGTTTGGCTCAGTTATTACTCCATCAAGTGACAAGTTTAATGCTGTGAATCAGTTTTCAGTTTCAATCGTTATGTCATGTTTACATGTATAAACCAGAACCAGAGCAGCGTTCACATCTAAACCCAGGAATCACACACTGTGCACNGCAGGAAGATCCCGGGTGTCCTCACCGGGACACTTTGAAAGATGCTAAACAAATCAGATCACGTTCATTCGACTAAAGCGGTGCTATAAGACAATGCAACAGCAAACGTGTGCAAATAAACAAGACAGAAACAGGATGGAAACTTTGGTTTGTTAAACAAAATAAAAAAACACCAAAAGCAAGAGAAAACAACCTATGCAATCAAATTCTATAATAAAATAAGTAAAAACATGAAGGCCAGCGAGTGCAACCGAAGGCCGTTGAAAGCATGTGCGCCTTGAGATTTTTGTTAAGTGTCAATGGAGGAGGAGCGTGTGACTGAATGAAGGAGGCTGTTCGGCAGCGATCCCTCCGACCCACCAGCTCCATTGTGGAGCAGTTAAAAGCAGCGGCTGTGAGGATGTGAAAGGCCTCGGCTGACCCATGCGTGGCTTCATGAAGACATAAAAGAGCCTTAAAATCAATTCTGTATTTAACAGGTAGCCGGTGCTGGAGCAGGTGTAAAGCTCTGCAGCAAACACAAACATGTGGAGCTCAGAGGTTTTGTGGAAATGTCTGTGGGTTTTTTTTTTCCCCTCCTGACTAAAACCCTCCACATTGGATTCACAAACGGCCAGCTCCAGCCGGCCGTGCTGAATGCTTACACATGCTTCTGAATGCGATCAGTGATGTGAAAAGCTGCTTTGACTTTTCCTCCCTCTGCAGAGGACCGGGCTGCTCGCTCCTACGCTGCTGCCTTGTCTGGTTTGCTCCAATAAGAATATTAAATGTGGAAGTGTAGGAGACTTGCAGATGTACACCTCAGAGCTGAACCGCCATCAAACATTGATCAGGGATGTCAGCGGCCCGGAGACTGCAGCAGTTTTGTAATTTCACGAGTGAGAGGCAATCAATTATTACAAACGCTTCTGCAAATTCAAACTTCAACACATTTTGTTTTTGTTTCTGTCATTTCCGTGCGTTTGGTCCGAACGCCGTGGCATCCTGATTGTGATGCGCTGCGCTGACATATTCAGGGCTGCTTTTATAGAAAGCCGCCTGTCTCCTCCATCATGTATCGCGGCGTGTCACAGAATGTGCTGAATAAAAATTGAAATGGAGCAGAGAGTAGGCGGAGGGTGTGTCTGCTCTCCCGGTTTGACAGCGTGTCATTTTCGGCAGCGGCGGTGCCATTACCCGACGCGTTCGGGCCGTCTTTGGGGCCGAGAGGTAGCCTGCACCTTGTAAATGTTGAATGCGAAATTAGAATCCAGTCATCAACCTGTGTCGTAAACATTTTATTTCCCCTCCACACCCACCCATCCTGCTCTGATTTGATGTACGCCGCTTCGCCTGCAGGCCTGCCGTGTGCTCGTAAACATGCCTCTCTTCGCCGTGCTGCTGCGGTTCAAGAGAAGGCTGGAAGGTGTGGCCGTAAATCTTTGATCATCCCGTTGAAACGTCGACCTTGACTGTCATCAGCGAGTCACGCCTCGCCTCAGTCGCTCCGTCACTCTCACCCAACTTGACCTCTGAGCCTGAACGGGGTGTCAGCGCGAGAGAGAAAGTGATGCTTGACTCGGAGCGAGAATCTTGACGGGTTTCACATTTCTGTCTGCGTGTTAGTCATGAGATCTGCAAGGCGGCT